AGGATAAAAACCAGAAAAGATCACAGTGTAATATAAACGGGAGAGTTTATACGAAAATAGAGATCAAGCTATAAATCGATGTATTACACTGTGATCTTTTCTGGTTTTTATTCTTAAGATAAGAAGTAACTATGTTTGTTCTTTAATCAATTCAAAATCAATTGTTCAAAATCTCTATTTCTACGAATCTCTATTCGTACAAAATTGATTTTGTGTTTTTCGATAGTTTTAGTTTAGAATACTATAATGAAATATTTTCCGCTTGTATTCTGACAGAATAAAGCTTATATCAACTTGTTTTAGTATCACCATTGAATTCCTCGTCGAAAATTACCTATATGAGTTGATTTGATCTTTCTTTTAGTGTATCGTACTAGGAAAATGTTGATTTAATGATGGCTCTGAAACGTGGTCCTCCCGACTGGACTCCCTAAGCCATTTTAAGAGATCCCAAAAATCCCGCCATGGCCCATGATAGTACACTTGGTGGGTGGACTCCAACAATACCAGAGAGAGCGGGAAATTCGCCCGAATTCCAGCGAGAAAACCGTTTGCTAAAATGACGCATTTTGTTAAAAGTGTCAACTTTGAAGCAATCTACATCGAAAACGAAAATATTTGAGATTGTCAAAATGATTTCAGAAACAGTCCAACATATAGTCTATCTGAGAATATGATTGAGGATCTCATGTTTCGTTTCGTTTCAATAGGGTTGTTCGCCAAAGTTGACCGAATCGACGATTGGGGCTGTCGGCGCGTCATCCACTGGAAAAGAACGAAAGCATGTGCGGAGCTCACGGTTGCTTGAATTTGTAGTCGACACTATCCAGTATTTATGATAAAGTTGATTAGTCTAAGTCATATGTCATTATGAAGTTACACGTGGTTTAAGTTGGCAATTTTTCAAGATGGCGAAATGTTCGTTTTTTGGGGCTTTTCGTAAAAATTGAATATCTCAGCAGCACAACAACTTTAAGACCTCCGGTTTTCATCAAAATTCATGAAAATGTTTGCTCTAGACAAATCTCCTGCTTTGGAAGAAATCTGAGGTGGTCGATTGAGCAGCATTATACGGTAATAGGTCGTGGCTTATCTTTAATGACTCTTAAGGTGTATCATCAGTACACTAAAAGCGCGCCACTGATACACTTAAACTGTATGATTAGTACACTAAAAGTGTGCTACTAGTAAAACTGGCATAAGCGCCATTTTAGTAGTACAGTTCAGTCACCCTTATGCATAAGTTTAGACTACTGGAGAAAAACGTTAATTTTCGTGTTACTGCGAGATTGTGACAAAGCTGAATCCGTATTAATGGAGTAGAACCCATATAGAATTGGTAGTTGATACAGTTTTCGACGACCACTTACATTCTAAATGGTCTAATAAACAATAACTGATTCTGTTTGTTTTCACAGTATGAAACGATCGTAAATGTTCGTCAAGACCAATTGAATCAAGTTCATAATAAATGAATATAGTATGACTTCCATGAGATAAAATATACTTGATTTCGCGAATTTTGGATCTGCAGATATACTTTCGGGAGATATACATATTACAGATGTTTCAAAATATTCAATTCCGTCAGTGATTGCAGATTTTAACAATGATGTTGATGTAACCGACGAATGAATATTGCTTGGTATATGTATATCACTTAATTTCATTTTACTAACGACTCGCAGATCCGCTTCACTCAATACTTTGATAGATAATGATGCATCACTGTTGTGATCCACTACTGAACTCCACAATTGATGTCTTTTTGCCAATGTCTACCTCAAATTCCAGAAACTTCTTGACTTGTTAGCTTTGAAAAACTAATGATTTCTTTCCGTATGTTAGCGTATCTAAACAAAAGCAAGAATGAGTAAAAAAGATGCTAGGTGACGGTTAGCTCACCTCGATGGGCCAAACAAAGCCATTTGTCTCGAAAAATGCGTCAAAAAATGAAATCTTAGTTTCATCTTTCCCGGATAAAGCAGTCTGAATTATTTACTGTGAAACTAAATTAACCGCTTCGATAATGGTGATCTATCTTGAATATTGGTCGCAAAACATAAGTCAACGATGTCTAACAGCGATAAAATTGCTCAATAATTGGCAGAATGCCTCACTTAATTGTACTGAAAGTTGTTGACCTTGCCATAAAATTCTTGCATTGAGAATAGATTGTTGATCACACAATAATCGATAAACGCGTGTGAATAGTATGTTTTGCTTTAATAACCGAAGTCTTTTTATCAACATCTTTCATATGTAGTTGAATAACATAAATACAATCAAAGATAGTTTAACGTTCCAAATGAAAGTGAGTCTATCGAGGATGGTGCTACCATAAGAGCCCTATTAAATTGTTTCAGAGCCGTATCCGCCGGTACGAGTCTGAATTTAGAAAATGTCTTGCTGATCTGTGTTTATACCCGTTGGATTGACGGGTTTATTATCCAACATAAACTCTGAAGTTGCTTACAGCCGAGAAAGAACGCATGGCAAATTAGGGGTAACATGTTCACTGAGGATTCATTGCTCTCGCGATTAATTTCCGATTTATTAATCTTGTTCAATATGACTATTTCTGTTCAGTGCAGTAAAGCTATTACAACCATAAGCTAACAACAAAACTAAAATTTCACTCTCTGTTAATTAGTTAGTTAACAGTTTAGCGATTTTAATTCAGAACAATAGTATTTATAGAAAACTTTCTCACTCAAAGAAAATGTTAAGAAATTCCGTACACCTGTGGGTACCGGCCCGGTGTACCATTGCTTTCAATCTAGACGGGAATGGGTCTTAAAGAACGTAGACTGGTAAGGCTCTAACCCCCATTCAGCTCGTCTGTATCGCTTCTCGCTAAGCATAATGGAATACATGTGGTATACAAATTGTTCCGTTTAACAAAAAAATCGTTTCATTTCGCTATACCCTAGTGAGTGTAGTCAAGCCCGAGTACTCAACGTCGTACTGTGATGAAAAATGCGACGAGTACTTATGAGTCTTCATGCATGTTTTTACTCATGTAGTACTCATTAAGTATTGAACAGTGAGTACGACTTTTGAGTGCTCCTGCACAAATTGTGAGTAAGTCATACTCATGTTATGAATACTTTCACTAGGATAGAAGACTAGTAAACAATATAAACAAATATTTAGAAAAACCCATATCAATGTGAAGAAAAAAATAAAGTTCAGTTAGAGTTGCAGAAAAGTGCTTTTTCGTATTCAGCACACTCAATAACTCACAAAATTTTCTATTTTCGACAAGACGTATTACCAAAAATTTCGGAAAATTTTCGAACAAAACGGTAAAAACAAGTGCCATGAGAAAATAATATTATTTTCAAAAATTTTCTTAAACATTCTGCAGTACCCCTCGCCAGAAATAGAAAATCTTCTGGGTTAGTTATCAAGTGTACTGAATACGGAAAAGCACTTTTCTACAACTCTACATCAACTTTATTTTTCTGTCGGTGATATGCTAGCTTGTTCAATGTTCATTGATATTTGTATAAATTTTGTACCAAGTATTCTGTTTTTAAAAGGTTGGTTACAGACGCAGGATATTTATAAGGTAAAGAGATCAGATCAGAGCATGAGATGTCTCCAAGATCATCCATATAACAAAATGATAATAAGATTGATCAAATCTATAAAAAGGAGTTTTAAAATAATTATTACATAAATAAAAGTAACTGTATTTTTTCTGCTCAAGCTGGTTTGGCTCGATTGAGTAACTCCCTTCAGAATAACTAAATCTTTTGAACAACTGTGTTAAAGAATAAGAAGTGCTGCATAAGAAATAAAACAGTTGATAAATAAAGGCCTGTCTGAAGATGTGCTAAATAGGAATCTCAGATCTTCAGATTTTGGTAGAAAAATTCTAATTTTTGGAACTTTTTGTGACTCGTTTCTGCTCTTTTTTTGCCCTAAGGTCTACTGATTTTCTACTTCTTTTACTAAGGTTTTTCTGATTTTGAACTTTTAATCTCTAATTTTCGTATTTTGGATCTGAAATTCCTGATGCTAAATTCTTACTGATCGGTAAAAATAATTACTCACAAAAAAACTTTATTACTCGATAAAACTTACCCTTTTCCTTCTAAATCTATATCGAAAACGCTGGATCGATTCATTTTCTGTTGTTATTTTTTACACAAGGAATTTACAACAAGTTAAATGATGGATAACAAAGTTGAATCATAGTTGGTTTATATTTTATTTGTTAAAAACCTATGCTGCAGTTTACTTGTAAGGAAGATACTTACATGATAGCAAAGTTTTAAAGAAAGCTCCTCTCTATTGAACAATGAGAACGTGTTCGTGCTATTTCTGAGTTTTCTCGTTCGTCGAGTAGCATAAGCCAATCTAAAACAACAATTATTGTCATGTCATACATAGTTACTCGTCTAAATTGTATCGAAGCATATTCTCTAGTTCATATTTTTCTCTCCATAATTTTATTAGAAAACAAGAAAGAAAAAACAACAACAGTAAAAAAGAAACAAATATTTTCTAATCTCAAGCAGTGCTTATTAGAAATGATACACTCAGACAATAGTGAGTTTATAAGGATAATCAAAACAAACGCTTATAGTCAAATAAGAAAGAAAAACATTTCATGTACACACGCATACAAAACATATCAAATAAAAGAAAAAAAAAAGAGTTGAATTCCAAAAAAGAAGAAGAACGAATAATTGGGTGGTGTTACTTTTTTTTTCTAATAACAGACGAGTATTTTGTTTCGTAGAGAAATTTTTTATGTAAAACACCGGTGTTTAATAATAAAAAGATAAGAGAAAAACCATAATAATCTGTATGTTCTTTACAGACAACCAAAACATTATCTGAATAATTATATAGTAGACTTTGACTAACGTGCAATTGAAATTACAACATAATTCGAGAGACTTTACGTCGATGTTTTTGTCTTGATGTCTACAATAAGGAGAAGTGTTTAATCTGACTAGAGATGCTCATTTCACGTGGAATCTCCATTAGTCAGGAACAATTTTTTTTAGATCAGCTAATGTTGTAATTTTTGAATGTTTATTACGAAATGCTGGTTTAATCAATGATTTGGCATCCATTCGTACTTTAGAAGAAGAAAAAATAGATTTATTTTTCTGATTTTTATTTGATTAAAGTCTGACTTACCAGCATCAATATTCTGGCAATCTTTTGTTAATAAATATTGTGATATACGTTTGGCTAGTGTTTTAAATAGTTCCTACAAGAAATAACAAACATGTTGTTTCTTATTTTTTCAAAACATTAAATTCTTTTTTTTTGCATACTTTTGTAGAAAAACGATTTGCTTGATAAAACGGATTTAATATTTCAACAACAACTTCCGATATTGTTTTTATATTGACAGGTCGCTAAAAAAAATAATGAATTTATAAATTAATATCTTTGATCTTACACTGTTATATAAAATCATGTTTTATCTTACTTTACTTTCTTTTGATCTTTTCACCGGTTTTTTACTTGACTGAAATAATTGAATACTATCATTACCAGCAAATGATACATGTTTATTTTTAGATACTGTATTTCGATTATTATCATCAAGTCCATCGTCATCTTCTTCATCCTCATCATCATCCGTATTTATTTCTCCATTAACCATTGAACGATTATTATTATTCACACTATCATTTAGTTTCTTAATTGTATGACTACCATTACTACTACTAGATAAACTTCGATTTGGTCTAGTCGTTCGAATGAGTGGCTCTGTGATTAAACTACTAAAAAATTCATCATCATCAACTGGATTATTAATATTATTTAGAGTACCACAACTACTATCTTGATGATTAAATTCAACTGTTCCTAATAAATTTCGAATACGTTCATCTAAACTTGGTTTTCTCTCACGACTTATATTATCATCGCCATCATTTGCTGATTCATTTAATTCTTTATCTCTTGATGTTGGTGGTGATCCAATTGAAGTTGGTTCACTCAATTGTTGTCTTAAAAATGATATCTGTTCTTCTAAACATTTTTTAAATGTTCCACGAGCTAATTTTCCTTTAGCATCACCAGTAACAGAAGTCGAAGATGATGAACCAATAGAAGGAAGAGATGGTCGACGATTATGACGATCGTTTTTATCATTATTATTCGAACTAGAAACTGAAAGTTGTCGATTATGAGATGTTGATACTGATTGATGAAGTGGTTGTTTTAACAATCGAGATGCTAAATTAAACAAAAAGTTAAACAAAAAAAAAATAAAATAAAATAAATTCAATATTATTATCATCAAACAAACTTACAGTCAATTTTTTTCGCTGTTAAAACACCATTTTGAGGATTTTCGGATTTTTGTTTCTTTTGTGGTTTTAGTTGTTCATTATTTTTGTTCGAATATTTGTCTTTTGAACGATTATTGAGATCTTTTTTCTTTGATCGCACAATATCTGGACTTTTTGGATGATTATGTCGATGTCCATGTTTCGATTTTTTTGATTTATTTTTTTTTTGTTTTATGGGTGATAATAGTTGAGATGTATGAGACTGTTTTCGATTTGTAAATAATTTCTCAAAATCATCATCATTATCTAAATCTTCAATTTTTAAACTATCATTACTACTGTGTAAACTGGAACTACTTATACTTGGACTACGAGAACGATTGAGTGTATCATTTGCAATGGATTGATTTTCTTCTAATAATGATGGTATAGTCAACGATTTTATTTCTTCTGTTAACGATATTTCCTCATTCGATATATTTTGAGTTTTTGCTTCAAGATGATTATTGAATAAATCAACAAATTTTTGAATTGGTTGTTCGCGTTTTTCAGTCATTTTTGAAATATTTTCTTCTTCAGTTTTTGATGTTTGTTCGGATTCTATTGTATCATGGAATGATATTGAACTATCATTTGATGGTACTTCTAATTTTTCATTAGTATCAATTTTACAAATAATTTGTTCTTGATCGATTAATGAAGTGTTTGTGGGCGATAATGATACTGACTCATTCTCATCCAATTTAAATATTTTTCTTATTGGTTCATCATTTATCGTAGAAATTTCAGATGAATCGTTATTATCTTTTATCTCTTCTTGTGTTGTTGAAAATATTTCTGATAATTTACGTTTAGGTGTCTTTACTTCTTGCTCATTGTCTGAGAGTAGTAACGATGATTTTGAGGTGGATTTTGAATTATACGTTGAAGTATCAACAAAATAGATTTCTGAATTGTCTGATGTTGCTTTCTTAATTTCACTTGTCTAAAACGGAAAGTAATAAACACAACAGTAAATCTTTCTGATATTTTATCACCAATTGACCTTTGTCATAATGCGTGTTTTGTACATTGCCTTATTTTTTGTCGTTGAAAATACTAAATATTCAAGACATGCTGCTTTATCATGACAAATTGTTTCACTAAAATCAAAAAAAGTAAACAAAAATTCAATTTAATAAAATAAAACGAAGAAAAAACTGAATTTTTGAAACGAAAATAAACCTCATCTTTTTTTGTACAGCATTTCCCGCATAATGTTGACAATAATTAATGACCAATTGATCTTTTAACACCTTAAAACAATGTTCACGTAATGGAATATTCACTTCAGGTATTTTTTGACTATTGGCATCGATCAGCGGACAATTTTCACTTGCTGCAATCCAGTCATTTGATTTTTTTTGAACATCCTTAAATAAGAAAAGTTGTCTTATGATACTCATTCATTCAAGATAAAAGTTGTCTTATTTCTCTCACTAGTACTGGATAAAACGTGTTTTTTCAAATAAAGACTATTTGTTAGCTCATTTCAAGAGTAAAATTATAGTAAGAAAACAAAATTAAAAATTGTAGTAAAAGCTAGTCGACTTACTCCCCGTCGTCGTTTTAATTCATTTTGTACAAGTTTCATTCTCGCTTCTTTGTCTTCGTCACCATCTTTACTCGGATAATATTCGTTGTCATTTGTAGCACCATATTCTATATAATCTCGTTTTGCTCCTCTTCTACCTCCACCATACATATTATCTGCACTTTCAAAACGATTAACACCTATTGTCGAAGCTCGCATCGTACTTCTATTCACTGCATTATCCATTTGTTTTTTCTAGAATTAGAAAACAAAAGAAAATCAATTTTGTTATTCTAAGTTACTTGATATACTTTTAATTGATTGATATTTCTTTCAACATCTATTCGTTGTTTACAAACATCACACATTGTTAGACAAGTTTTTCCCTCTTCGCCAAAATACGAACATATAACACCATGTCGACAACTAGAATAGAAATAAATCGAAACAAATATAAATTTTTACAAAAAATTATTTGACAAAAAAACTTACACAACTTGTTCACAGTAGTCAACAAGCGCATTAAAACCTTCTAACATCGATATTTTTCGTTCATCACTCAGTTTCTTAGAATAAAAAAAAATGTTAAATAACGAATTAGATTATTCTCATAGGTGAATTACTCTGTCATTTATTTCTTGATTAATTAGAAATAATTGTGTGTCTTTTTCTTTCAATGAATAATATAAACGACAAATGGATAATTTTCCATCACGACCTCCTCGTCCAGATTCTTGATAATAGCCAGAAATAGATTTTGCTAAATCCCAATGCACAACAAATCTAAAAAACATAGAGAGTATTTATTTTGTTTGTTTTTCTTTCATAATCTTTTGATTACAAATACCTAACATCGGCTTTGTCAATACCCATTCCAAAACTAATTGTAGCACAAATAATATGTGTTGTGCCTTTCATCCAGTCAGCTTGAATCTAAATAATAAGACAAATACATGGATCTATTTATCTCTCTGAACAAAGAGTTTCAATGTTGGCATACTTGATTTCTAGTAGTATTTGATAATCCGGCATGATAAGCTTTAGCCATACAACATTTGGTTTGAGTCAATTTCTGTGCTAAATCTGTACAAGAGTCTCTTGTTCGGCAATAAACAATACCCGAACATGATTCACCCTTTAAAATTGAAAAATATGTTATAGTTACAGTATAGTTTGATTATATGATATGCATTCATTCATTACTTGATCACTAAATTTTAAATTTGAATCGCGTATAAACTGGCATAAATCATTGAATGGATCAGGCAGTAGTTCTTTAAAACATATTTCATAAAATAAATTTGAACGGAATACGGACGATTGAAATTTAGATACTGGCTGATTTAAATGTAAAGAGCTAGAAAACATAAAAATAAATTTCTTCTAACGAATAAACTGAGGAAAATAACATACGTGAAAATATCATCAATAACTTTGGAAGATGCTGTTGCTGTTACAGCGACACATGGTACATTTGATAATGATTCGTGTAATGAACCTAATTTCAAATAATCTGGTCGAAAATCATGTCCCCATTGTGATACACAATGTGCTTCATCAATAATCAAATAATTCAATAAATTACGTTTATGAACTTTTGATATAATATCACGAAAACCTAAAAAGAAAAATTAATGAATATAAATCAATTAAGTAAGGACGTTAATCATTTATTTTATGTTTTCATTTACTTGTGGTAGCTGCTAGTTCGGGAGTAACATATAACAATTTTGTTTTGGGTTGTTTTTGACATAAATCAATTAGCACCTGCTTTTTTTCTTGTTGTGATAATGTTGAATTTAACGTTGATGTTACAATATTTTTGGAGTTTAGTGCTTCTACTTGATCTTGTATAAGTGCTAATAATGGAGAAATAACAATAGAAATTCCATCACGATAGACAGCCGGAAATTGGTAACATAAAGATCTAAAATTCAATTAGAAAAGCGGTGTAATCGATGCAAATTAACCAATATAATTAAATACGTACTTGCCAGCACCCGTGGGCATTGAAATAAAAATGTCATTTTTTCCTATAACAAAAAATATTAAAATTCTTTAAATTTCATTTCTTCTAATTATAAGTACCTTCAATGATCGCCGTAATTGCTTTCTCTTGAACATCTGATTTAAATTTTTCGAAACCAAATTTTTTCAAACACTCTTTCATTTTTTTCTTATCGGCCATGTTTCTATGTTCTTTTAGCTATTTTGGAGATTAAATTATTGTTATACTTCTATTTTCCATAACATGATGTTTGAATCACTGGAAATGAGAACGTGAAAGTAATTATCAACAAATAAAAAATCGTCATTTTCTCACATTTCTCCTTTGATCAATATGTTCATTCTGAGACTAAAATATTGGCTTTTTTATCTCTATCCTCGAAACAACTACTGATCTACAACAATCATTAAGAAACTGAGGAAAACTTGCTCAGAAAAGCTAAGCAATATATGATAGTCCGAGAAATTGTCGGAAAGTACTGTAGCACGTGGTATTTCGATTATGTAATGTGACACATTATTTCTTTTTTACATTTTTCAATAGATCATTCAGTTTTAGTTCAAAAGAATTCTAATCTAATACTAAGTGTACCGTGTAAACGACTGAACCTCTTCTAAAGAAACTTTTTTGATGAGTTTCACTCTTTAAATTAATTGGACTTTAAACAAAAACACAACATCATTGCTCACCGTGAATATCGAATAATTTCTATCAAAAGTTGTCGCCCTTGGTGAATGCTCGATTAACTATTTATGATAATAGGTAGTTTGACAATACCTGTTCGTAATAGATATGTAAAAATTTATCAAATCGTAGCTGAACATTTTTGCTAATACTATTTCTGCTTGCGATTTAAGCAGTTATACAAGAACAGTGTGTATTTGCGACATCTGCTCTGCCCAATCGATGAGATAGATTACACTTATGGCCGTGAAGACCTACAATATATCGATGTGGTCGTCGTTTTGGCTGTGACAATTTATTTGAAGAAAAAATATTCGCAAAATACTGTTACATTTTGTGGGGATTTCGTTTGGTTCGCGTCTTAAGACAACTGGAAGTTCGCAATCATTTCAAATAAATGTTGGAAATACTTGATTCGTGATTCTGTTATTCCTCGTATTGATGCTGCAACAACCCTTTTTCTGATCTGCCTTTTTGTGGGCTTAGATTAAACAAGTTTACTTCTTTCAGTATCCATTTATTGTTTCTACAGTCAGTTTCCTCAATTCACAACTTTCTACCACTTCTCGAATATATGCGGTGCGAATTTGATATAGGCAAAAGTACAGATAGTGAAATGATTAATAAGAGTAAATAGGTCCTTTTAAGCATTTTATGTCAATATTTTTCCATAGTATTATAATCATGGCACTGAGTCAGATGTATATAAAAATTCTAACTTTCTTGTACTTTTTAAATTTTTGAAAACTGTATATGCTTGATTGTTGGAAAGTATGTTCGTTATGTTTTACGCCATCTACCTTTTAGAACAACGATTTTTTACTTACTAGATCAAGACGGAATGTAGCAGATCAATTTCTTATGAGTTACTATCTATCGTTTAAGTATCTGATTATCTCAGAGTGAGATAGGTTTTCTTATAGGAGATGTATTCACAATTCTTCCCGTTTTTTTTAAGATAATCATGATAGTTCTTGCACATTATATTACTTCTATTGCCGTTTTATATATTTGACAAGAATGTCTGAATCTACATTTATTTCGGACACTAAACCAAAAAATATCATACCCAACCGAAATAAATTAAAGAGTGAAGATAAAACATCCAACAACAATAATGGTGATCAAGATTTATCCACGTCTTCCACATCGGAAGACAGCCACACTTTGTTAAGTGAAACTGTAACAACATTAGCTAGTAGTGTTTATAATGAACTTGAACGAATTATTAAAAAATATGGTGAAAATAGTGTGAAAGATTTGATGCCTGTTATGATTGCGACACTAGGTAAGAAAGTATACTTGAGAATAAAATGTTTATGTATTTAATGGTTTTTGGTCTTTTTAAGAATCACTTGACAGTGCTTTACATGACAAGGAAGTTCGTCAGTTAGAAAATGAATCACTTAAAGAACAAACTGATCAATTATATCAACAATACGAAAGAGAAAAACAGTTTCATAAAGAATATCAACAAGTAAGAGAAATAGTACAATCTTTTAAAATATGTGTCCTATCCTAAATTCTGATTTATTTTCATAGCGTTATTTACAAGTTGAAGATAATTTAGAAGAAACAAAGCGTGAAAATGATGAAAAGTTGCAAAGTTTAGAATCAATCGTGAAAATATTTGAAATTAAAGCGAGAAACGCAGCAGATCACGGTAATTCAACCAAGAACAATCAACTAATCTTTACTTTAACGCATAATACTATATCTTCATTTTAGTGTCACGTCTGGAAGAGAAAGAGTCAGAAATGAAACAAGAATATAAACGTTTACATGACCGTTATTGTGAAGTATGCAACACTACGCACCTTAATTGATCACATTTTACATAAAATTTTACTTTTTGTTGTGTTTTAGCTATTCAAAGCTCATTGTGATTACATGGAACGAACAAAAATTTTATATGGAACAGATAAATTGGATCAGTTATCCAGCAATGCATTACGTGTTCGGTACATGTTTGATAGAAAAAAATCAAGCACAAAGTTCTTACGTTATTTTTCATTTTCTAGAAGTAACATGCATTTACCAGTTCAACAACATCAGTTTGATAGTAAAGCACCATTTTCCCATACAGTAACAAACGATCGTACACCGACACGAGCAGACGTCAGTTTTACGTATGTTGTGTGTTTAATTTTTAAAACGACAACGTTTACACAGTTAATTGTGTTTTCTTTATCAAGTTCATATAATGGACCGGTTGTCGGCGCAAGTTTTCGTTCCGAACTTGAATCATCGCACGGAACTCATACACAAACAGATACGTTATCTAGGAATGATGCAGCTGTAAATACAGGTAAGAAGAAACCCATCATATCTTATTTTTCTTATTATCCTTCAAGCGCATAATCTGGTTTGCTCTTTCGCCTTGCCACCTAATTCCATTTCGGTTAATTTTTCATGATGGGTCAGATGGTTGGCCAAACAGTAGTAGTAAATGCGAGAAAAAGTGGGCAGTGAACTATTTCTTTTCTTTTTTTGCATGAATGTATGCACATTGAGACTACAGTCAAATGTTAGAAAAGAGATTTACATCCCAATTTGAATTCTTTGGTTTTTTTCTGCACTTTTTATCTTTTCAGCAGGAAATGTTGACGGAAAGAGTAAAAAGCTATTACCAGCCTCGAATATCATTACGGCAGCGACCGCATCTGTTGTAGAGGAAACACCCTTACAACAGATGGCATCAGGTCTGAAGTATAATCGTGATTGTTGTTATTGTTGTTGTTCAGCTAGCTGCTTACTGATCTTATTTCGAGTTTAATGTCGAGCTTTATTGTCGTTTCTGTAGTGAACTCGATATTTATTTGTATTGTTTGAACTCTAAAATTAAGGGCAGTTTTTTTTTCATACTTAGCTTCACATTTTTACCAGAATCTCAAAGAATTATTTCGATTCTTTTATTCTGTACTCATTTCTTCATCAATTATTTTGATAGCGATTACGAAAGTTTGGAGCTATGAGTGCAACATTCAATGAAACTCTTTCTTCTTACTACTAAATGGTAAGTAGTGAGCTGATTCTTGCCTTAAATCTTCTTCTCTATCGTAGACTTTGAAAAAAATTATTTTCATCCTGAAATTGGTAAGATTAAAAAAGTGCATGTATGGAAAAAGCAGTCTCATATATCTTTTGTTCTTTGCATTTATGCGTCTAACAAAATTAATTTTCTATCACAAATTAATGATCAACTTCTTGACTTTTTAATGCTTTTTAACAAAGCATGGCTCTCCGAAAGAAGAAAAATCAAGAAATACAGAAAATTTATGTAGGAAAAAAGATTTGGTTTTATGTATTATGGTGCGAAAGAAAAAGAATATTTTTTTTTATAGCTCAAACTATGTTAAAAAGTTTTTGTCAAACGAGAGCTATTATCCATACATATCTGGCGCACTTACTGTTTCGATTGAGTAATCGCTAAATAGTTACTCTAGTTTTTGTATAAAGTCGAAATATCAGTTTCATTCACTCGGTCATTGTTATATATACTACGGTTACACGACAGTTAATCATGATTAAACTAGTAGTGTAATCGCTACTTTAATCATGATTTTCTTGAAAAAATCGTTATTTTTGTAATTGTATCTGACTAATATACACAAACGCATTAATGTTTCTGCTCGAAATTTTTCTAACAAGGATAGTTCTTCGTTAGAAATGAACATCAATTAGGCAATTGTTATTTTAAAGTAATTTAGAATCTTTGCAGTTCTTTGTTTTTTTGTGCTCCTGTAGCAGAGAGAAAAGAAACGTGTATGTTATACAGCTAAGAAAATATGTAATAGTATAAAATGAAAGTGATCTGTTGAACGGATTAATTGTTGTTAATAAAGAAGTAAACAAGATTTAGCTTGCTCAACATATTTTCTGCTTACATTTTGTTGCTTGTTTTTTGTGTATTTTATTGTTAATATATTAATTTTGAATGCATGATATAATATACCTGCTCATCACATGCTTGTAGGAATATTTGCCAAAATACGAAGGTTATCCAATTTTGATGAGCAACAATTATTCGAATCTGCTGCAGAATTTGACGAAAACAATCCAGGTTCGGTATACATTTTCTTATTTTCTGAAATGAATCGATCGTCTATTCACAGCACACATGCAATACTTTTAATTAAACGTTGCTCAATACTTGGCATCTTTAAAAATTATTCAAAATTTCTTAATCTTGTTTTTCTATGACATAAAATTTGAAAAACAAATTTATTACTCAATAAAATTACCGTTTGATTGTGCATTATCTACTGCTTCTTATCGTCTCTAACCTACTATTATGTGTGCGCATGTATTGCATGATGTTGTAATGTGTTCTTAATTACAATTATTGTCTAATCATTTTAAGCATAATTTCTATCTTCTAAAGTATTTGTTGTTTTAGATTCTGATGTGCAAGCGAGTGATGAAGATGACGATTTATCGATCGATGATAATAAGTAAATGATACTTTTTTAAGAAAAAACGTTTTTCATTATGTTGAATAATTTTATTTTTAAATTTAGTAAAAATATGGAAGCATTTTATAAAGAAACAAGAAATGAAAATATAGATATATCAGATGTGGATGCTAGTGCCGATTTATTGGGTATGTGTTATAATATTTAATCATGTCATATTTTATAATAGAATCTATCTGCGTTGTTCTGTTCTATTTTACATTATTCTACTTTTGTGTTTACATTTTTAGTTCGACAAAGTTTTTATGGTGAGATAATGATAATTAGGGTTCATGTTAGTTCTTCTTTGATAAACGTTGTAGTAATTGTTCTAATGTAGATAAACTAATTATAATTCGTTTTCGTATTTAACAACTGTTTTTTTATCTGTGATTTTTCTGGTGATATGGTCTTATAGTTTTTTCTGTTCGTTGCTTCAACAATAACGTACTATTATGTGGCTATGTCTGTAACTGACGGTTAGGTCTAATATTAATTTTCATTAATATGTGGCTTTACTTAGCAATGTATCGTAGAATCGCTATAACAAAGATTGTGTTAGAGAGATTGTACCAGTCTAACTGTGTAAGAGCACTGTAGAGTTCGTGTAATTTATGCCTTCTTATTGAGTGTCGTATTTATGAAAATTTCAATCGGTTATTAATAACTGATTTTTTTGGTTATTATTATTTGTACATGCGTTTAGACATCTGCGCAAAGAATGTCCGATTGGAGAACGCGGCGCAAAGCTATAAAATGTTAGTGATTATGATCCGACAAGACCACTGTTCTCACTATCACATCTGTCAGAAATATTTGTTTATTTACACTGATTTTTACAAAAATTAAACAACTTCTATTTATTACAAATATCGGACAAGTTTCTTTTAGCGTGACGACTAAATAAATAAGATTGACGGTGGGGTTCGGCATCAAGCTTTAAAAAGTTTTCCGCCTTTTGCGGCAACGGCGTGATAAAAGGCAATCAATGCTGAATGTTTCACCAACACAGATGTCTACATGCATTTACTTAACGTACCGCGCCGACCGGGCGTTATCATTGGTTACAGAAAGCTTTCAAAATTTTCTAAGCTAATCAAAGTCATAAGTATTTTCACTGGATTCTTCTGAATGTGTCTTAGCAGTGTGCTTTCATTAACGCATGCATACTTCTAGAGCTTATAAATCGATCATTGGACTTTTCAGTTTTTTATGTGTCTTTTGATAGAACAAAATATTGATTATATTTGAATTATTTTCTAGGAATGACAAAGGAGGTAGCAAATTTGATCAAGGAAAACAATGAACTTCTTGAAACAAAGTAATTAATTCTTCGTTCTAATATTATCGATGCTATGTTATCTCATTCTCGTTTTAGAAATGCCTTGAATGTTTTGAAAGACGATCTTTTAGTTAAAATTGAAGAATTATCTAGGTAAGTAGACGTAGAAAAGATAAATTATTTGATACATAATTACTCATAATGATTTGCATTATTTTTAGTGAACAAGAAATTCTTCGTGAAGAAGTGACTTCGCTACAAACTGTTAAAACACGTCTACAATTGAGAATAACAGAATTAGAAGAAGAAGTAAAAAAATCACGAGAAGAATTAGATAAACGAAAGAAAGAAGAGGAGGTGAGTAGTAATATTTTCTTTTCTAACAAAAACGCTAAAAAAGCGCATGTAACTAATCATCAAAAGGAATAAGCACGCTTATAACAAACTCTATTCTACCATAACCAAACTATCTTTAGTGTCTTGAAATATTTTGGACTGTAAGTGCTATAAGCTGTGTATTGTTTTGATAAAAAGCTGCTATTTAAAATATGATGATCTTCTGAAATGTTTTTAGCTAAATTATCAAATAACGGTCAGTGAAATGTAGAGGAAGAGAAAGATAAAATTTAGTTCTTGCTCTTCTTACCGTTTAATTATTTGATATCTTTTCATCAGATATTGAGCATGGACATAGTAGTTTGCACATGTTTTAGATAGGAATAAGTTGAATATTTAACGTGCAGCGTTCTACAATAAGAAATGAATTAGAATACTTTGTATAATAGTCGGGAAAATTTATGAATTTCTGAACAAGAGTACGAGCTAGAGGAAGGAATTTTATGTTGATTCGTTTTGGATACTCTGCTAGTTAATTCATTGTGGCTGCGTTTTTGTTACTATACAATTTTTGCTTGCACGAGATTGTGTTTGATAGTAAAATCACATCCCAAAAATTATTTCTGCTAATGTGAAAGTATACTCGCGTACTATGACATCTGCCTATGAATGGTTAGACAATGCTACATGGAATTTCAGAGATAGAGAAAATTTGCAAGCTATTTTTGATCGATAGTAATCGAATACTCAAATATTAATTATTTATCTTAAACATATCTTATGCATGTACTTGAGTTTGATTAATTTCTTCTATTCATGTTAACCAAACTTTGTCTTGCTTACTATTTCCGTTTACTCTTTCTCTCTATAATTTATCAAGGAAGATGTACCTACTGGCGATCGAAAAAGGTTTACGAAAGTGGAAATGTCACGTATTTTATTGGAAAGAAATTCATATAAACAACGTTTGATGGAACTTGAAGAAGCTATTCACTGGCAAGATCATTTACGTGCATCAAAATTAACAGATCCACAATCAGCAGCAACTAGTTCTACACTTGATAATGCGCAACAAAAAAAACGTTCAACATTTTGGAAACTGTGAGTCTTTAATTATCATTTTCTTTTTTATCATGTACATGTTGTTGTTGTCGTTGTTGTTGTTATTGTTGTTGTCGTTGTTGTTGTCGTTGTTGTTATTGTATCCTCTCTACTGTGTCGTTTCACAAGTCGTCATCGGTACATTTTCCTAAAAATTCTGTTTGCTAGATATTATTTACTAACATATGCTTCTAAAACTATAATACCATTTGCATGCTAGGGAAATTTTGATCCGCATGGGAATAAGCAAAAAAACACTGTAAAAAATAACGTTTTGTTTGTAGAAAATTAAAGCTCATAGTAAAGGAACACAAACAAAAGTACAACAAAACTCTTCTTCCAACAATTCGATTGTTCCAACAAAAAAGTCAAATGAGTCTTCATTACCAACATCCTCTTCATCACCAACAAAATCATTTTGGCGTCAAATTAGTGAGGATCTATATACTTCAATATCGAATAATAGTGTAACAGCCGTTACTAGCGCATCATCATCAATTAAAGCAATTGTACCGCAAAATATATTAGGAGTACCGATGAACGATATAAAAAATGATTTAAGAGAGGGTACAACACAAATATCCGATTTGTAAGTGCGAGTATGATTACCATCAAAAATAATTTATTTTGATTTCTACTATTCAAATTAAAGACTATTTAACACTCAGTGTGTCTATCTCTAACAGAAGTAACTCCTTATCTCTTTATTAAAAAATTAAACATTAATGTAATTTTTTTGTCATTCTGTTTATCTCTTCGTTGTTGTACAAATTACTCATGTTTTGATGACTTTATTTAGTTTCTCTGGTTTATTTGGTGCCACACCAGCACCACCCGAGAAACCATCAAAACGTTCGTTAACAGCGGGATCTGGTGGTGTGAAATACAGTCATACAAGTGATCAATTAGCTCCAAATCCCAATACAAATTCCACATCATTACAAAATGATTCAGAAAACAATTTACCATTAGAACGAACACATTCTAACAGTGAAAAGTAAGTAAGAAACAAACGTCTTTTGTACTTTACTTTATTAATCGTATTTACTTATTTTGTGTATAGTCTCGTTACGGAATCAACTCCAAAAATGAACCAAAACGACAAAACATCATCACCTGTAAAACAACGTAAAAATTCATTAATTGCTAAAGATGATAGTAGAGTACAAGCCTATGGGTGGAGTTTACCCTCAAAAAATCAGTTGAAATTATCTGAATTGAATGGAAAAGTGCATGTGAACGTGCCAGTACCAGTTTATTGTAGACCAATATATAATACAAACGACTTAACACAAGTAAATAAATAGAAATCACTCTAAATAATAGTATCATTCTAATCTATATCTAGATTTGGTGTGCTGTTGGAATTGATTTAAATGGTGCTCCGACAAGTAATAATCTGACTACGAATTCAAATGATGCCGATTTGTCATCACTTCCATCTGGTGAACAGTTAAATAAACAGTTAATTGAGTCTTATAATCAAATGACCGATGAACCGTATCTAAGACTTTCGTCTCTCGTATGGATAGCATCTAAATGTAATCAAAGTGCAATGATAACAATTATTGATTCAAATAAAGCCGATAAAATTATTGATACATTTACATTGGGAAGAGCCGTTGTGTATGCAATGGGAAGTGTACCCGGTATACAACATTTTTCTTCTACTCAAAAAAACGTTTTTGATTCTATGATCGTTTTTCATTTAGGGCCAGCTTCTTCTGATTATACGGTAGATGACGAACAATGGAAAAGAAAATCTCAGACAGTGGATCATATTGAAGAAAAACTGACGTCGAATGGTAAGGAATATGGGCTAATTCTATCGATATATAATAAAAAATGGGGACGTTTTCTTCTAGCCATTAAAGTTGTATCTTGTGCAGCTGGTAATTCTAATGTCATCAAAGCAAATGAAGGTAAGTGAACGTAAAAATTTCACAGTGGCGTTTAAATTATAAATTTTTATTTTTAGCTAATACAAGTGTATCCGAAACATTTCCTTTAGAAATAAAATCATCAGAAGAAGCTGTTGCTCAATTAGTACTGAGTAAGTGTATCTATCGTACATTGTGATTTGCATGTTAATAAGGATATTTTCGTACTGATAACTCATTATTTAGAACGATGAAGGACAGAATCTGTGATTTTGGTGTCTAAGATTTTCGTTATTTTGTTTACACTTTAGATAGTAAAAAGAGAAAAACACGCTCAAAAACAGTTTCATCATGGCCATTTCTTCAATCACTTATAAGTAGAAATTGCTTGCTCGATTGCAACTCGTGTCTGTTTTTCTTTTATTTCCATTGTGTTAGCTCAAAAATAAGCTAAAAACTGTTTTAATGATCATCAAGTCATTGTTATAAAATTTTCTATTGTTTGATTGACAATCAATTCTTTACCTCTTTTTCTATTTTTGTTTTAAAAATTGCCACTATGATAAAATCAAATAGTAGTAATTATTTTTTTTCTGCTAGAAACGATCTTTTTCTTGTGCATATATTATTGTATTTTTTCTATAACTTTCGTAGGTCCCGAGCAAACATTACCTACTATAACAGGTGAGACATTTATTGTTTATTATCTCATTGCGAAAATGAATAAAATATCTTTTCGTTCTCAGACACTCAAAATACAAATAAAAAACCGATGTATTCAACAAAATATCCAACAGTATGGCTAGGATCGGGTGATGGATGGTAAACAATTATTACAAAAATGAAATTAAAACAAATTTTAGTTATTGTTTGTTTATTCAGGTTATATCTTCATTCATCTGTTGGAGATTATAGAACGACTATTGAAAAAGTTTGGTTAAAAAATGCCATCTACAGTGTTGTGTAAGCAGTATAGAAATCGTTTTGGAAATAAATGTAAAAAATAAAAGAATTTATCTTTTAGGCATGTACGAGGGCGTGTGTTTGTAGCATTGGCTAACGAAAAAATTGCTGTGTTTCGTCGAAACAATGGTATGTAAACAAGGAAAGATGTTCGTGAATTTTTCACTTTCTAGATAAATTACGGATAAAAATTTAACTGCTTGATCAAATCTTTTTTTGTATTTTTATTGTTTAATGTTAAATTATCCATTTCAGATGGAACATGGAATTTAAAAAATTTTTATTTAATTGAAATTGGGAAAAGTCGTCAATCTGTGAGATGTTTAATTAATGTTTTTAATAATATTTGGTGTGGTGTTATGAATCGTATTCACGTAATTGATAGTCAATCATTAGAAATAATTGTAAGTTATTGATCTTTCTTCTCTAATAAATAAATATCATCCAATTCTATGAAACTATTTTTTCTTGTTTTTTATAGAAACAATTTGATGTTCATCCACATCTTGAACATTCTGTTCAACATATGACATGGTCGGGCGAAGGTGTTTGGATATCCGTTCGTTTAAGTAGTACATTACAATTATATCATGCAATTAATTATCAACATTTACAGGATGTTGATGTACAACCGTATGTGGAAAAAATGATTGGTAAATAGTACATCATATTTTTATTTAATTAAAATTATTCGTTTTCGTCTCTATTTAGCTACAGAAAAGGCTGGACTTTATTTTGTACACATTAGTAGTCTTAGTATTGCATGTAAAAGACTTTGGATTGGAACGGGTAACGGAATTATTATATCTGTTCCATTATCAGAAAGTAAGTTTTTTTTCTTTCATCTTTCTTGTTGATCAATATTTATGAATTTTTATTATATGTAGATTCATCATCATCATCGAATCAAAAATCATCTGCATTAACAAAACCAGGCTCTGTTATTCGTGTTTATGATCAATCATCATCCAATATACCCTATTGTAGTATGAATAATGCTCAGTTATCTTTTCACGGTTACAAAGATGCTGTTAAATTTTTTGTGGTCGTATCAGGCAATCCGCCACCAAAATTATCCATTGAAAATAAATCGAATAACTCTGAATTAAATACTATTCCATTAAATTCTGATCATTCTTTAACAATTTCATCTGACATATCATTTTCAAATGATATGCTTGTATTGAGTGGTGGTGAAGGTTATATTGATTTTCGTGTGGGTGATGTTGATAATATTAATGAAGAAAATAAACAACCATCAACAGTTGGTAAATCACATTTGATTGTATGGCATGTGAGCTCGATTTAAATTTTATTTTCTGAATTTTAAACTTCGCCTACTAGTCAAATTTAGAGAACGTCTATTTCTCTCTCTTATTTTCCTCATTCAATTCTCGATTACAGTAGTCATACAATAGGTTTCGTGCAATTCGTTTTTCTATACAGTATGTCTTTCGGTTTTGTGTATCTTTATGCCTTTCAGTTTATTTTCGTTGTTCGTGAAAAAAATGCAACAATTCTGATAGAAATTCAGTCGTAGAATGTATACACTTTTCTATATTACAATTGCTTTATCTCAAACTCTAAAAAATATAATTGACCGTTAATCGAGTTATCACTTTTTTTTTTTCAAGTATTCTTAAGTCGACTTTTGTTTCACGTAATTAGTTGTACGAGCTAAATGCATTTGTTTGTCTCTTTACGTTTTGTTCTAACAAATGTAAAATAAATAAAATTTTTGTATGTTTGTGGAACTAAACCATGATTTTAGTATGTGTGTGTGTGTATTCAACGTGACGTTTTGATAATTTGTTTCTCGATCGTTTTTTGTTTCGTTTTTTTTTTTTGTTTCTATCGAGAATAGATAAATCGCCTTCTTAAAGATCTCAAATGTTTTATGTAGATAGATCGTATTATTTATTTATTTTATATTTTGTTCATCCACATCAAAAAAACTGTACATGGTTTTTCTTTTTTCTTTTTGTATTATTCTTATGGTGGTGCTTGCGCTATTTTTTTTTATTCAAAATATAAAAAAATCAAAATTTAAAAAAAAATCTTTCATTTTTTAATTGAATCGTTGTTTGAACGTTTTCGGTATGCAGTGCTCTAAACAAAACTTCAGTGTGATACTGCTTAAAATCAGTGTCGCATTGATTTTTAACAGTGAAACATTTTTTTTTTTTTTTGCAGGGTTGCTTTTCTTAATTTTGCATTAGTTAGAGTGCGGCACTGGTGGATACTAGTACCACATTGTCATGCCATAACTCTATAGCATTGGTCTTGGTACTTCTTTTACGAGAAAGAAAATATGAAGTTAAAAGGACATTTGAAACATTGTTAGTATCTGTAGTGTTTATATATACAAACCTTGATAAAATAAAATTGTGTTCGGAAAAAATACTTTGGCATCGGTGCGCAACCAGTGACAATAAAAAATGTTTTTTGCAAGGTGCTGTCGAATAGAGATATGTTGACTTTTTCGCTGAGAGAGTAATCAGATATGCTCTTGTAAGAACATGTTAGCGTTCATCTAAGATTTACTGATGAAATAGACAACTAACGTTTGACGTCTCTCAAATAAAGGTGAGACTAGTGGAATTTGAAAATACAAAGTCTAATCAGAAATACATTCATGTTTAATTTCGATATATGTTAAGAAGAACACATTTGACTGGGTTAACAGTAGCGTTGAATGTTAATTTCTTTGTCAATGTTTCAACAGTTCAACTTTTTATAATAATTTGTAATATATACTGAACTGTCGAAACATTGACAAAGAAATTAACATTCAACGCTACTGTTAACCTAGTCAAATAAGATGTCATTCTGTACTTGCTCGTTAATCGTATTGTAACAGTTTATATCATAAAAGTATAGCCAAACGTGTGCTGCAGGCATAAACAAGTAGTAGTTAGTAGCCCCTGGTGTTCAAAATCGCCTAAATTTTGGTGATTAGTCATGATTTGCAAAACTATCGACGATACGTCGCGATTTCAAATAAAATCGTCGATTAATTACAATTAATGGACGATTTCGTTAGGAACACCGATTTATCGTGGATAGTTTTACAAATCGTTATTAATCGGAAAAAACAAACGATTAATTCTTTTCTTGTATTTTCAATATTCTAACCAAAGCCATCGTAAAAGATGATTTTGTTTATTGATGAATATGCGGAAGATATGTATGCTCTTTAAATTATTTTTTTCTATTAAGTTAAGATTTATGAACCAGTTAACGAAAAAACGTTTCCTCAACATTTAGTACTTAAACTGTCAGCAGTAATTGAAATAATAAGATGAAATAGATTGATGATAACTATCAGAATGGAGGAAATTGTTAATATAAATTGAATAGGGTCATTTCTGATTTAATAATAAGATTCAAGAGTTCAAAAATGTTTAATGTTAGTGACAGTGATTGAGTCTAATTTAGTCATTGATAATATTCGATAAGTTTCAATCGTTTTAATCATTCTTGTTTCTCTTTTTGATTGAGATCATATGATCAGTTTCTTATACTTTTGTTAACAAAATTTTATCTTCTAATTAGAATTGTCATTTTTGCTATTTTTTCTGATACAATTGAGAATAAAAAGATTTACAAAGTACACTGATATTTTTTTTTTTTATTGGTTGATCCGTTATTCCGTAATAACGGGTCAACAATGTTGTACATTGTGTGAAATAGTTGAACACAAAAATACAGTCAAAAAGTGTAAACAAAAGACAAAAAGAAAATTTCATCTTAAAAAACAGTGTAAATAAAAAGAGAAGAAAATCAATTTTGACTATAAAATGTAGAACATTTGACTTATTTTGTTTAAATTGATTGTTAAATAATGCGTTTTGAGTGACAAAATACACAGAAAAAAGAATAAATACATAGTAAAGAGATGAAGTGATGATGAATTTTTATAAATCGAATGATATTATTTATGATAGTATCTTACTTAAAAAGTTTAGATTTTAGATTAATATAATAAACAGACAATATTTCAAGAGTTCAAAAGTTTTAGTTTGACGACTGTTTGTAAAAAAAAGAAATATCACAGTCATTTTTCAATCTTGTCTGATAATTTTGAACTAACAAATGTATTATCATATAATTATACATTTGTACATTTCAATTGTACATCAGCATAATTAAATGTATTAATTTATTCCATTGCATGTATACCTTTCATATTGTTAGTATTAATATCATGTGTATATAATTCATCTTGTTTTTTTTCATCATTCTGTTTTTCAAAATCATCATCATGTAAATTCATTCGATCTAATTTATCTTCTGTTAATGTTAATAATATTTTATCTTTTAAATCATCTGGTATTAAATAGGGTCGAATATCAATTATTTCTGCTACTAAATCGTCAAAACTTTTTTCTAATGCTTCAATTAATGCATCATGTACAGAATGATCAGAACATTTTGTTGATTCAATTAAAATTTTTGAACATAATAAATCACGTTTATATGTTGTTATAACTAATGGATGAGGATAATTTTCATTTGAATATTCAATATCAGCATCATAAGATAATAATAATAAAACAATATCTGGTCGAACATTATAACAAGCTAAATGTAATGGATAACATCCATCTCTATTTGATATATTTGGATTAGCTCCTTTAATTAATAAATATTCACTTAATTCATAATCATTTCTTTCAATTGCCATTAATAGTGGAGTTTCACCTGATACTGTTGATAAATTTAAATCTAATGGCATTGATTTTGATTGTAAATAATCACATAATAATTGAACTAATTTTATTGATGCTTTATCCGAATAACAAGCTGCATGTAAACAAGTTGTACCTAAAAAAAAAAGTAATATAAAAATTGATATAGATCTTCACATGTTAAGAGAATTGAATAATGATCTAAACCTTTTTATTCTAATTTTTTATTTTACCTTGACTAGTTTTCCAATCGATTTTAGCATTCGCATTTAATAATAATTCTAAACATTCATCTGAACCTGAATGACAACATGCATAAACTGGATTGAAAATAACACCATCAACAGTCTGACCTAGAAATAGAAGAGTAAAATAAATAAAATTTTAAGAAAATAAAAAAAATATATATCTTCTTCTTAATTACACTTACTAAATTCATTAATATCTAATCCAAATTCAATAAAATTTTTTACAATATTTGGATAACCATAAAAACATGCTGCTGTTAAATAAGATGGTTCATGTTGATCATTAATATTGACATGATGTTTTAATAATAATTGTATTATATCTAAATTGCCTGATTCTATTGCATACATCAAACATGTTTCACCTGTTTTTGAATGTTCATTGATAATATTTTTATTTAAATTTGAACATTGTTCAATAAGATATTCTACTAATGCATAATTACCACTTGAACATGCATACATTAAAGGTGTTAGACCATCTTTATCATAACATTCTAATACTGCACCATTCTCATGTAAATATTTAACAATTTCTAAACGTTCATTTAATTTTTTAACAATAATATCATTATAATTTGTTCGTATTGCATCATGTTCACTCAATAAACCTTTTAAAATAAAATAAAATAAAAAAAAGAACAAATATAAAATGATAGCATAAAAGTAATAAATATAAATTTTTCATTTACCACGTGCAACTAGATGTACAGGTGAACGATCATCACATTGTTTTATATTAACATCGGCACCATGTTCAACTAATAAACGACATATATCAAAATTTCCATAAAAACATGCTTCTAAAATATATATTTATTATTATTAGTGAAAAAAGTTCAAAAAAATAATATATTAAATACCTGATAATGGTGAATATCCAAGACAATTAATTGCATTTACATCGGCTTTATAATTTAATAATAAACGTACTACATTTTCATCTGCAAATTTTGATGCCCAATGTAAAGCTGAATCGAGACGTGATGTTGTTTTTTGAACATCGGCACCAAATTTTAATAAATAATGAACAGTTTCTGCTGTTTCTTGTACAAGATGTTCTGGTCCAATTCCACATGCAAAATGTAATGGAGTAATATCTATATAATTAACAATAGAATTATATTTTATAATAAAAAAAAAAAAAACATATTTTTTTCCTATAAATTATTTCTTACTTGCTAATTGATCATTTTTAACAAATGTACATTCAATATTTGGATCAATATGTTTTTCTTCTAATAAATATTTAACAATTTCTGAGAGACCATAACCAGATGCTGCATGTAATTCTGTTAAACCTGGAATACCCGAATAAAATGCTTCTCTTCTTAATAATATTTCTAATATATCAAAATAATTATATTTATAAGCTTCTAAAATAACATTTGTACACAATTTCATATCATGTATACGTGACATTTCAAGTAATTGATCAATTTCATTTTGAAAACATATTTGATCTATTTTAGATTTTCGAATTAATTTTTGTAAATACGTATTAGCATCAAGTAAATCATCATTTTCATTATCCTCCATTTTTTATTTATAATTATACGTTGTGAATATAAAATTAAAAGATCTAGAAGAAGAAAAAAAAAGATAAAAAAAAAAAATAAAGAAATTTGATTCTCATATTATTCAACTATTCTATCATCATATAGATCAACATATACATTTATCTCACTTACGATTTCATATAGTGAAACAGATTTCGAAGTGTGGGTGTTTTTTTTTTTAAAACAAATATATATATATATAATTTAATATTGTAGAGTAAAAAATATTGATTAAGAAATAATATGACGCACACACACACAGACAATTACATTTTTTTTTCAAAAAAACTCTCGTTAGTAGAGTCTCTGTTCTCTCAAAATAAAAAATGTTCATTTCTCGACTGAACATTTTAATGTCTTTTTTTTTCTTTTTCTTTTTCTTCTTTTAATGTCATTCATATATTTTTAGACATGTGAGTATTGTTATATGATAGACAATAGTTTATAGTGACATAGATATTACGTAAAAAATTTTATTTTATTTTGTTCAAGTTTGTCATGCTCACATAAATAATTAATTTTTGAAATAGAAATTAAAGATGAATACTATCAACCAGTTTGTTCAATATTTGTTTACACAATTTAATTTTTCGAATATTTTTTCTTCTTCGCTTGTATCCGGTTGTCAGAGATACATGTCAATGTATATATATTATGCAGACATTTTTTTTTTATTTTTATTTTTTTCTTTAATTTTTTTCTTTTAGTAAAAGTAGGAAGAAAAAAAAAAAAATGTTAAACACAGAAGAACAAGATGAGAAATTATTTTCCTTTTATAAAAACAAAAAAATCTATAGGAACGCTTTATTTGTCAAATATTCCTAAAACTTCAGAAATTTTGTGTTTTATTAATTATTCATGTTTATGTTGGGGCAAGAGAGATTAAACTCAAAGTTACAATAAAAAAGAAGAAAAAGAGACCTGTTGTTTTGTATAATCATACGGAGTAAATCTCTCTTTCTTTCTTTCTCTCACAATAGTCATACAACAATATAGTGATGGAAAGAAGAAAAAAATCTAGTCAAACTGATTAGATAGTAAAACTCATTTCTGAATTGTCAAAAAAAAAAAAAAAAAAAAATGCACTTTACCACTAGATCCATAATTTCTATTTTTAACGATCACGTTCCACTAATTTGATGATATAATCAAATTTTTAGTACTTTCATCCAATTCATATTCTTTAAATGTGTGTTTTGTTTGGAAAAACGCAAAATCTAAATATGTCTTTCTCTTCAGAGTATTCAAAAAAAAATTTCTTACTACTCATGAGAAATAAGATGATATATTCAAATCTGATGAGAGAAAGAGCTCAATTCAATAGAAAAATGAAATTTGTATCTATCACATCCTCCTATTGAGTATATTCACACTTTAAAAATAGTTGAATTTTTATAGAATCATCTCTAGTTAATACTCTCGAGAGACTTACTGAAAAATGAGAAATCTCTCGGGACTCTTGAGAATATCCGCAGAAAACTCATAGCCATCCTTGTTACTTTCAGGATGTTCCTTGTTCTTTAGTAAACCTCTATACAGAATAAAAGCCCACCGGGCTTCTAATTTGTTTTGAAAATTAGAAGTTTGGACATGGGCTTTTATTGCGATCAATTTTTCTCATAGTACAGCTAAGATTTAATTAGCTTACAGGCAGAAAAAATGTTAAAATTTTGCAAATCAAGATTATCAAGTTGTTTGACAACTTTCAGAGTGCTTATCATAGTTTCTTAGGAACTACGAACTGGTTACCAATTCTTTTCAGGTTATATATTATCAAATCGACATAGTAGTATACTGTTTACACGACGTTTTATATTCACATACTCACATACGCTTAGCAATTCGTGGATCTTGCCATAGATATGAAAAACTGTATTTAACACCATATGTTGATTTTGAACATGTCGAGTTTTGAAGGAATGTAAAAGAGACTTCTGCTAGACGACCTCATCATGATAGCTTATGCACAGTTCAGATAGAAAACGAACTATATTGTAATTATCGCCGCAGAAATATAAAATAAACGTGTGACTACACAATAAAGGTCGTCCACTCCTTGAAACATAGGTAATTCAAATCTTCTAAGTATTATAATAATTGATATTGTATCATCCCACAGTGACATTTATTTTTAAATTTAACAAATTATCGCGTAATTCGTATTTGCCCTTAGTCAGCTTTCTCACAAGTCGCATCCTTCAATCAAAGACTTGCTTGCATTGCTGTTAAGTCAAAAAAAAATCTCAACATTTCGTTTCTGAATTATACATAATCTTATAAGAGGAAGAAGCTTAACAGAACAATATTATTGCATGCGTAATTTTGAATGGTATAAAGGTAGAAATAGAAAACACCAAAAGTAAAAATGTCGAAAGCAAAAATATCGAAAGTCCTATTAATGCAACCTCAGTACGTCCGTTTATCAACACTGAGTGAATAATCTGTAGAAGGATCTATGTCTTGCATTTACATATGATTAGTGAATGTAAAGGTGCATTAATAATACTTTGGATATTTTTTCTTTCAACGTTTTTTTATTTCTATGACATTCATACATATCGTAATTTCTGTTTAATAGTTCTTAGGCAATTAATACATACGCATAAAAATTTGTTAATATTTGACAGATATTCACTTATC